GTAGCCTCATGGAGCAGAAGCCGGAGCTTGATTTGGCTGCTCAGCATGTGCTTGTACTGAACCACCCATGTGCACGAAGGTATCCTGAAGGAATAAAGTTTTTATTTTTATCATTGGGCCCGGCGCCTCATTTACTTGCTCAGCAGATGTGCTTCTGCTGCGTATTGAGGGCACCCGACACTTCCCTTTCCTGACGAGCACCCAATAAGTGCTCGGCACAATGTCTGTCCCCTACCTACTAGTCCCTGGGTGTGGTGCTGGAGACAAACAGGGAGGTGATCAGGAGATAAACAGCACTATGTAAAAAAAAAAAAAACAAAAAAAAAAAACCTTATTTAAATACAGTTTTTTTTTTTTTTTTTTATCAGGACAGGTAGATTGTCATGAGGGACAAGTGGATTGGGACCCTGATTTAGTCCCTTGGACAAGCAGTTTTAATACAAAATTTCCACACCCCTGATCATTAACTTGTAGGTCCCTTTCCACTAAAGTACCAAGTGGTGCATTCTTTCCGGAGAAAATGAAAAATCGTACGTGCACTCTTATTGATTTGCCCATAAGCAACGAGACACCAATCTTTGTAAAGATGAACATGGCCAAAAAAAAAGATAGTTTTGACATCCATCCCTTGCTAGTTTGAAAGAAGTACTTCCTTTTAAGTTTTGTATGGAAGCGTTTTTCCAGAAGACATTTTCTCCTTAAAGTGTATGTAAAGCCGAAACTAAGTTTTGGATATAGAAGGAAGTGGTTAGAACATCTAATGCTCTTTGCTGCTGTCGGTCTCCCTCCGGGGGGTCTTTACCCTTGCTTCCATTTGTCATCAGCAATGGTAGGCTTCCAATTTGTTCAGAATAGGGTTTCCTTATAAATGCAGTTTAGAGGTGAAGTGATGGGGGTTTGGGAAGAATTTTTCTGTTTTTAGTAGGAGGAGGGGGCAGGTGTGTATGCTACCCCAACAGTTCATATTCCTGATATGTGCCTGCTGTACCATGTACGTGTATGAAAAATTATCCTGTTCTCTTTGTATTGCTTCCTTTGTGCGAAATCCCTGGTGACCTTGCCAGTCCTACCAGGGCTTGAAAGTACATCCATCCTATTGTGGTCAGGTTTCTTATTTGCACTGTATGCACTTCACAGCCTGCCTGTCCAGTGGTCAGACATGTGATGATAAACTCCCCTGTACAGCCGATCACTAGGAAGATCAGCGTTATGCTGTTTTTCTGCCTCCTGCTGACATGCCCCTTGCAGTCTCCACCCCGAGCTCTCTAAAGCTCCTTATGCAGCTGAGAAGTCATGTTATCACTTACTGAAAAAAAAAAACTAAAAAATTATTAATTTATTGTGACAGGGCGAGGCCATGCCACTGTGCAAATTGGCAGTCTAGGCCAGGATTAGCAGAAAACAGACACACTTATGGCACAGGTTTGTGCTAGCTTTATAAGAGATAGGATTAGAGTTCAGCACTCCACCCTCCTGGGAGTGTGCGTCTGCAAGGGAGCAGAGAGGTGCATATCTGCACCAGGATGGAGACAGGACCAAGCATGAAGGATGTAGAAGCAGGGATTTGCGAGAAAAGACAAGCTGACAGTGGTACAGTGTTTGTGCATGAGCACTGGACATTGTGTTAGAAGGTCAGGAGGACTAAGGGAGTAAGTTTGAGTGGCAGGACTTGCAAAGAAAGCCAAGAGGCTGAATACTACACTGCTCAAAAAAATTAAAGGAACACTTTTTATTCAATGTATAGTGCCAAGTCAATTAAACTCCTGAGATATTGATCTGGTCAGTTAAGTAGCAGAGGGGGTTGTTAATCAGCTTCAGCTGCTTTGGTGTTAATGAAGTTAACAACAGGCGCACTAGATGGGAAACAAAGACTACCCCCCAAAACAGGAATGGCTTTACAGGTGGAGGCCACTGACATTTCTTACCCTACTCATCTTTTCTGACTGTTTTTCACTAGTTTTGCATTTGGCTAGGATCAGTGTCACTACTGGTAGCATGAGGAGATACCTGGACCCTACAGAGGTTGCACAGGCAGTCCAACTCCTCCAAGATGGCACATCAATACGTGCCATTGTCTCCCAGCACAGTCTCAAGAGCATGGAGGAGATTCCAGGAGACAGGCAGTTACTCTAGGAGAGCTGGACAGGGCCATAGAAGGTCCTTATTCCATCGGCAAGACCGGTATCTGCTCTTTTGTACAAGGAGGAAAAGGATGAGCCCTGCCAGAGCCCTACAAAAGACCTCCAGCAGGCCAGTGGTGTGAATGCCTCTGACCAAACAATCAAACAGACTTCATGAGGGTGGCCTGAGGGCCCGACGTCCTCTAGTGGGCCTGTGCTCACTGCCCGGCATCATAGAGCTCGATTGGCACTTGCCATTAAACACCAGAATTGGCAGGTCCGTCACTGGCACCCTGTGCTTTTCACAGATGAGAGCAGGTTCACCCTGAGCACATGTGACAGATGTGAAAGGGTTTGGAAAAGCCGTGGAGAAAGTTATGCTGCCTGTAACATCGTTCAGCATGACCGTTTTTGGTGGTGGGTCAGTCATGGTCTGGGGAGGCATATACATGGAGGGATGCACAGACCTCTACAGGTTAGACAATGGCACACTGACTGCCATTAGGTATCGGGATGAAATCCTTGGACCCATTGTCAGACCCTACACTGGTGCAGTGGGTCATGGGTTCCTTCTGGTGTACGACAATGCCGGCCTCATGTGGTGAGAGTTTGCAGGCAGGTCCTGGAGGATGAAGGAATTGATACCATTGAATGGCCCCGATAACATGTTTCGGTCCATCTGACGCTGCCAGGTTGCACCTCACTGTCCAGGATCTCAGTGATGGCCTGGTCTAATTTTCACCTGGTAATCTTGCAAATAACACTGCCTGTCCCCTCATGGTTATGCTTACTTCTCCACTGTATCTATGAAGGCAGTCATGGCTGTCACACAAACCGGACTTCAAACATGTTTACATTTCCTCAGCTCCACTCTATGGTATGATGGGACTAATAGTTTATACAAGATTGTAATGGTGTTTGGATAATGGTGTTTATGTTTTATTAAGATTACAGGAAATGACAATTACTGAAAGTGTTTTTAGGATGGAAAAAAAAAAAATTCAACTAAGGCAGCCACTACAGCGAAGGACTAGTACACTGTAATATATTTTGGGGTTTAGATCAGCTTTAAATTGATTTGATGAGTGGATGAAGACTTTTCTCCGAAAGAGGCACTTTCGAGATATAAGGGAACCCAATACTGATCATTACCAAATCTTAAATCATTCATATTATATTCTTGGCTCAGAAGATAGCAAAGGACTACCCTTAAAAGAGAAAAAACAAAAAAGACCCAGACCAGAAAAGCCCACCATAAAAGTCAAAGAATTACAGAAGCTGTTTCACAATGCACACAGCAACAGAGAAAACACCAAGAATGCCCAAAGTTCTTAAAGTATAACTAAAAGGCAATAAATCTCTTAAGAAACAGCGCTGTGAGAGTGGATAAGTTTTTAAACCTTACATCGAGGTGTACCTTTTATTACAATCAAGGATCAAAATATAAGGTGACCTGGGCAAGGTAGAGGACCCGTTCGCTTCTTGGGTGTAGCAATGCAGGGCAGAGAAAAGTACTCCTGTGCACAGATGGTGAACCACGAGAGTGCGGCGTCCCGGAACTTACATCACTGCGATCTTGGAGGAAGCGGAAGGGAGGATCCTGTCTTGGAACACAAGCTGATGGCCGGGTCGGTAACCTAGACAATGCGTTTCGCACACATGCCCTGCACTGCTCCACCCAAGGAACGAATGTCTCCTCTACCTTGCCCAGGCCACCTTATATTTTGATTCTTGATTGTAATAAAGGTACACCTCGATGTGAGGTTTAAACTTATTCACTCTCACAGCGCTGTTTATTTGAGATTTTTGGATTCACAGTACAAGTGTTTATTACAGCAGTAGTGATGGGTCTATGTCTTGCACACTTTTCCAATTACAATATGAATGGTTCTTACTGCGCTTGAATATCTGACATTCCATAACTAAAAGGCAAAACGTTTTTTTTTTTTAAGTTTTGGACAGAGGGGAGATGGAGTAGATTGCCCGACAGGTTCCCCAGTAAGGCGATTTACCCTATAAATCTCTCTTACTCTATCCAAAAAAAAAAAAAAAAATTTAGCCCATAGTTCTACATTAAGCCAGGCTCCAGGTTGCAAGATAGCAAATGTCAATGGTGGAGTCCTCCAGTTGCATTTATGGATGATTTAGAGGACAGCTCATCTAACATGCAAATATGCTAGGAATGTTTAAGATGATAGAAAAACCTAAGGCTTTGAATTTGCCCAAAGCTGGAAAATTCGAACATGTTTATTTCAACTAAAGACGATAGATGATTCATATTTTAAAAACAAAATTTGTGAAAACACAGATCAGTTTTGGTCAAATCCAATGAGCCACTATAACCCAAGTGGGTGGAAAATGCTTGTAAGTGTCAGACTGGTGTGGAACGAAATGAGGGTTTCTGCTGAGAGGCATTGAAAAAAGGAAAGTATGGAGTAAAAATGGGTGACATTCTTAGCCAGTGGCTGGTTTATTCCATTGGCTCCTGAAATATTCTTTAGTTTGCAATGTGACAAGTTGCAGTCATTGTGTGGTATTATGTGGTGTGGCAGTTTGCTATTTTTTCATTGTGATACAGTTTGCTTTTATAATGTTATGTGCTCTGGCTTGCTAATAAAAATGTTGCACTTTATCTAATTTGCTATGGAGGCAGTGTAAAGTATGAGATATGCAGTTGGTGGCAGCAGGAGAGGAAGAATGCACCAGAAAGCACCAATATAATTCTATTTTGGATGGATTTCTTCTTAGATTAATTTATATAGCAAATATAAAAAGAAAATGCAGTACAAGAACATTGTTAAGAAAGAATTGCAAATACATACAACACCCTTTCAATACAATATTACGCTATTTATATTTTCATATACACAAACTACTTACAGATGAAGGGAGTCCTGGGGGTATTTTGCGCACTTTTTTCGGCTGGGAATCTACACAATGAAATTAATAAAACAGAGGGTTAGTAACATCTGCTCTAAACTGAACTACTCACAACTGGGTTTATGCAAAAAATCTGAATATTCAGCTTTAAAATTAGTAAAACTTAGGAGTCCTGATTAGGTGAAATTAAACACTCCTATCTGCCCAGGACAATGCCATCTTGACCTCTCTTTAGAGCTGTAGTTCTATTGTGCTGTGCAATGTGTATAAAATGTAGTTAGCTTCAGCTTTATACAGTATACAATCACTGTGTTCTTGCAGCTGGAAAAAATAGAGTTGGGGTTATCGCTGCATTTTTTAAATGAGATTGTGACATCATCCGCCTACCTCAGCCAAAAGGAAGCCTTGTATTCATTCAGAAAAAAGAAGCAGTTTTATTTTGTTCCAGGAGCAGGATGGGAATTCCTGCCCTGCTGCTGGAACAAACGCTGTATACTGTATGTAGCGTAGACTACATACAGTTCATACTGCACTGACAGCCACTGCATGTGTTATTGAAGGTAACAGTTCGTTTGGTCAAGCTTGGCCAGGCTAACTATTTATAGTTCACTGAAACCTGGGAGCTCAGCTTTAAAGGATTTTATAACATTAATTGAAAATTTCTAATACATGGGAAACGTTAAACGAGGAGGTTTAGTTGTGTTTTAAGAAACAGTTATATTTGACCAATTATTAAACTGCCATGACAAACATTTTTTATTCTTCGCACACTATAAAATGCACACAACAGGTCTTAATATCACTTACACCCCCCCCCCCCCCCCCAAAACATTTTATATGTTTGGAAAACAGAAGGCCTTTAGAATAAAACAGCATGACCTGCACCTCTCTTTGGAATGTAGAAGTGATCAGACAGCTTGATAGCTGCCCAGATCATGTCTACTATAAATCCCAGATCCGGTTGCTAAAATTTAAAACATTCATAGCTGCTATTGTAGCCACAAGCTTGACTGAACCCTTTCAATGACATGACATGTATTATATATCAGTGGCACTGAAAAGGTTAAGAGTGCAAATGCAGCCTCTTATAAGCAAGACTTGTAAGCAGAAATTAAACTTACTTACTGCATGGGTCAACAGCTCGGTTTGTATAGTGGTGAGGAGAAAGCTTATACTCCCCCACGATCCAGTGGTTGACTGTTCCTGGTCTATGAAGCCTGCTCTTGGCTTATTACATCAAGAACAGTCCACAACTCAAAACCGCTGGAGCACAGGGGTGCCAGGTGCTTCCCTAGACAAACACAAGCAGTTAACCAATGCAATTTGGGCATATCCCCACTGTATGGGAGAGCTTTTTTATTGCCTGGAGATGAGCTTGAATATTCAGATTCTCGCATAAATTAGTATTATCAGAGAGGGAAAAAAAAAAAAAAAAAAAAAAAAACACATTCGCTTACCAAGATTACCATCTCCTGGACGCCGCCGTGTATTGTTTGTGTAAGAGTAAAATTGTGAGCTTCCTTTTCCAGTGGTAGGTGAGAGGGCACTGGAATTAGTTATCCCCAGATCTCCTGGCATAAACCCAGGCTGCAAAATAATCAGAAAAATCTTAACCAGGGAACAGATTTATAAATATATTACATATATACATACATACACAAAGACACAAACGCATACCATAATTATAACATTTGTGCAGTACCTGATTAATCGGAGGCATTCCAGGATCTCGTCCAAATGCTGAGTAAGACGGTCGCTCATTCTTCCCTAAAATAAATTACCCAGTGGACAGAAATTACAAGAGGCCACAAGTGTGTTAACATTTGCATATTATTATTATTATACAGGATTTATATAGCGCCAACAGTTTGCTCAGCGCTTTACAATATAACGGGAGACAATACAGCAACACAATACAGTTGAATACAAGAGGGATAGGAGGGCCCTGCTCCTCTGAGCTTACAATCTAGGAGGGAGGGGCTAGTGGTACAAAAAGGTAGTAAGTGTGGGGGATGAACATAACATGAACACATATCTAAAATAAACTAATTCGTTTTATTTTGTGTTATAGTTATACTGCATGCCTATATAATTGCAAATGTGTGCCTGTTCATGAATGTGTTTATTAAGGCTCAATGGTTTGTGGTCTCTGGTGATTCAACGCACTGGTATGCATTACTGCTCAATCAGACAATATTTTAGCTGGACAAATTATTTGGCGTATCATCTCACTAAATTTATCATGGGAGGAGATAGATTGTAAGCTGATTGGCCCAGCTGACGGCAGCATAGGAAGCAGAGCAAGAGCTGATCAATGACCATAAGAAAGAAAGATGATGCAGACTGGTATATACCTTATAGGTATGTGGGTGGGGCAGAGGAAGGATAGAGGTGGCAGAACAGCAACTGTTGGTAGACTGGGGGGGGGGGGGGGGGGGGGGGGGGGGCAGAGGAGGTAGAGCGGAAACAGTTCTTGGCAAGAGGAAACAGTGCAGGTGGAGGAGATCAGCAGCAGCTGACCATGGAATACTGAGAGAGACAGTTAAGGTAGAATAGTAGCTGCATGAGGAGGAACTAGGGAAAAAAAAAAAAAAAAAAAACATGAGTGATTTGATCAAGAATGGAAGAAAAGGTAGCTTGGGACTAACATAGCTGGGTAAATATTGAGGAAAAGGATTGTAGCTGTGAGGGGGGGGGGGGGGGGGTAATGCAGCAGCTGATTGTAGACAAGGGAGAGAAAGGGCAGAGCAAAAAATGATTATAGCTAGGAAAGGGGTGGTGTAAGAGATTGAGGACCAGAAGTTGATAATATTCCACAGAAATGGGATGTGTAAGAGCTGGTCTTTGTAAACTGGGAGAGAAGACTTAGTATATTAAGGACCTAACTAGATTTTCATGGTATTTTGGTAGGATTTATTTCATGCTTGGTAGTTCTCTACTATGGCAACCAGGAGACAGTGGGAATAATGTTCAAAGAATGCCAACGACACAAACAAAAAGGTGATGATGAGGCAACAGGGCTCGGCGGTCAGGTACCAGGGAATCACAGAGTAGTTCCAAATGCAGCAGACAGTATTTTATAGGCATATAGGGGTGAAGTGCAGCATGAACAGGTGCAGATATGAAAGTGTGCAATGTGGACAGTGGGGGAAGATTGCAAGTGTAAAACATTGTAGACGGAGGACAGAGCTCCCAGAACATGCATGGTAGGAAGAGATTCCAGAGGATATTAGTATGGCTGGTGTCGTAGTGGGGACAAAAATGGTAGAGGTGCTAGAGAACATCATGTAGACGGGAGGGCTGCCACAGAATGTAGTTTGGAGAACAAGGAAAAAGGTAGCAGAGAACAAAGATTGAAGTGAGAAACTACAGGAGAGAAAAAAAAAAAAAAAAAGGCTGCAGCTGCTGGAACATGTTGCATGTTCCACCCCAAATATGTTCCAAAAGGTGAACTTATACTTTAACCACTTCTAGTCCGGACACTTTTACCCCTTCCTGACCAGGGCAATTTCAGCTTTCAGCGCTATCACACTTTCAATGACAATTGCGCGGTCATGCAACACTATACCCATATGAATTTTTTACCATTTCTTTGAGACAGATAAAACTTTATTTTGGTGGATTTTAATTTTTTTTGCTATGTAAATGAAAATGTCCAAAAATTTTTTAAAAGTGTTTTTTTTTTTTTTTTGCTAATTTTGCAAATAAATAATATTTCATCATAAATCTTGGCCAAAATTTATTCCATTATCTTATTATTAAAAAAAAAAAAAAAAAAAAAAAAAAAAGCCAAAATTTGTTTATAACCAAAAATTATAATTTTTAAAAACATTTTTTTTTAACATTTTTATTTTTTTTTACATACTGTCATCCTACTGTCCACACTGTACTACTTTTGGGGGGTGATGAAGATTTTTTTTTTTTACACTGATTGCTTTTACACCCATATAGGATGTAAAAGCAATCATTTCTCTTTCTCTCTGTCTGCATTCTTGCAGACATTGAGAACTACTGAGTGAGCTGTGATTGGTCACAGCTTGTCACATGGTACAAGGCTGTTGTGAATAGCCTTGTACCATGTGACCTCTGTGATCATTCACAGATTTCACACACGTAGTAAGCAATGATGTCACAAGTGACATCTTGCTTACTACTTTGCATGTGATCACTGATTGGCCAATCAGTGATCACATGATCGGGACCTCGTACAGAGGTCCCGTCCGACGATCGGTGTTTCACTGTGTCCGGAGGACACACCAGGCACCGAATTGCGGTGCTGCGCGCTCCCGGGGAGCGCGCACAAGCAGGGTGCGGGGAGGCCGTTTATAAATGGCCACCCGACCCTGCAGTGCCACCGTCCGGCCGTTTATATACAATGGCCGGTCGGGAAGTGGTTAAAGCTCCAATCTAGTTTTATTACTGCAAAGATGGACTTGGCGTACGTTTTGCAGACAAAGTCATTTGATGCACTCAATAGTGGAAATACAAAGTCTATGGCAATCCACTTGTACTAGTAAACCTATGAAACATGCAACTAGTTAAGAACTGCAGCAGACTTTTAACCACAACTAATATATACAGCATATCTGATGAAGACTGCATGTAAATAGGGCATGCACCATTGAATCTACATTCACTTGTGTCTTACCTACAAGTCCAGTTGTTAAGAAAGGAGTAGATGACAAACTGCCTTCATGAGATGGAAGATCTCTGGGCTCACCATAATGGGAGGAATCACCATAGCCCTGAAAAAAAAGGACAAACAAAAAGGTGAGAACATAGAAACTTATGAAAATAATGAATTTGAAATTCTACATTTTTTGGACTCCCGCGATATGTATTTTACATACAACCAGCAAGTATACTTGATAGGAGTCTTGTAAATCCCTGCACAGCAGTACTCATATGGAGAGAGGAGGCTTAGCACTAAGCCGTTTATGGTTAGTCTTGTACAGTGCTATCAGTCTAGCACTTGTCAACATGCCTACAGGAAGGGAGAGCAAGATGACTTCATAAATGTAAGCTGCTTCTAAATTGTTCAATCAGCAGGTTTGTGTTCTGAAACTAGGTATATTGCTGAAATGCAGAGGGGTTTGCTGACAGGGGTGTTTACATTATAAGACTGGCTAAGTAGAATTAAAAATCCTTTGTCAGGTTCATAAACATTCCTGGACTGCTATCACATCCCCCCCTTAGCCCCCCCCCCCCAACTTACTCTTCCTTGATCAAATGAGGATCCATTGTGATCACCAGTTCCCCAAGCACCAGATGCAGATCTTTCCTCCATACCTAAAAAAAAAACAAAACACACATAATTAATGTACAGAGAAATACACACACACATATTGACGTGTCTCTCTCTACACACACACACACACACACACACACACACACACACACACACACACACACACACACACACACACACACACGTCAATAGAACAGTCTATCTAACCTTCAGCAGCTGTCAGAGTTCCAACTAGACATTAAACGGTTTGCCAATGAAAGTAATAAAAAGAATATTTATAGATTTAAAAATGAAAAACCTTAAATCCTGCTTTTCCGTATCTCATATCTTTCCATGTTCCATGCTTGTACAACAAAATACACAGTAAATTTGTACACAGACACACACCATATTACCATTTTGTGCTGCTTGAATAAGCAACAAAATAGAGCCAAAATGATACCTTCTAATTATTGGTTCTATTGTGCTAGCACTACTGCCTCCTTTTTCTGCCACTCTAGAGATCTGGTTGCTTAACTGTTATATAATTTACATAATTATGCATATTAATTTCTGCAGGTCATGAATATTCATCAAATTCCCTTGATGAATTGTGTTTTATGATACAAGGCAAGGAAAGGAATAGAAGGGAGAGGGGGAAAGCGATAGACAGAAAGCCAAAAGACTTTTTCAGATAGACACATAAAAATACATTGAGATACACTGAAAGAAACACTGAAATGCAAAAAGGGGTGGCAGGTACTACATATAACTGTATAGAGTAAGGCTAACCATAGGTGGGCAGGTGATCAGAATCCTTTTGGAGAATGACAGGCGGTGAGACATATGCTTGTCTGTGACTGCACTGCCAAATCACCAAGACACTCCGCAATGTGGGTGCGGTGCGCATGCATTAACAGACTCATTCACTTTTCTCCACAGAACAGGATATTATCATTGCAGAGATTTTCATCAAGTTAGGAAATAGATTATGGAATGCAATAGCAATCACTTCTTTCCTAAGAGAGAAGTGATTGCAAAGATCTGAAAGACATTATCTAGACCCCTTATATGCAGGGATTTTAAGTCCCTACCTTTCTCTTTCTAAAATGTGTCAAAGAAAAAAAAAAAAAAAGTCTCTTGAGGATGCCTCATGAGTCTTCTAGCCAAGGTATGCTAAATATTCCAATAGCAACTACAGCTACTTATGTCAGAGCTCATGCACTTGCCAGATCGAACACACAAAATACATATAGTGTGGAGGCTCCCAGGGGTGCTTACAGATAAATTTGAGAGGTTGGAATGGCTTCAGCTTTTTTATATTTAATTGATATGTTACTTTATAACTGCTATACTTGTATTGTGTATTAGGGTGCATTAAAATCAAACTCCAGGCATATATGAAAAGCTACAAATTAATTATCCTTTATTGTATTTGTGTAAATGCAAGCAAGCAGTGTTAAGTACATTCATTTGACTTTGTATCAGCCTCTTGCAGTGCCTGTACAGCAGAGCCCAAACTGGAAGGGGTAGAAAGAATCTGTTATGGTGCAATACAAGGAGCATGTTAATAGGAGGGCAGGGGAAAAGAGAATGACAGAAATAACCTCATCAGTCTGCCTTTCCTTTCACTGGCCATTTCACAGGCTGGGTGGGGGACAAGACTTGGAAGTGTAGGGGCGCATTTGCCTTTCATTCTGAATGTCACCTCCACACATCTCATCTTGCAGCATCATCCCATGGTCAAAAAGACCATGCGGATGAGTTTTGAAAAAAGTGCATGCACCTTTTCCTTACGTGAAACGCGGGGCACAGCAGCCCATTCACATGACTGGGCTGCCGAGTCCATGCAAATGCAGGCCGCATGGCCCACACTAGTGTGAACCGGGCCTAAAACATAAGCACAGGGTACGATGTTCCCCAGATGGTAAATGCTCAAACATGATTTGCAATCTGCATGAGGAATACATTATTGCATGGTAAAAAGGAGAAACCAAAGGTCAATTTAATTTACTATAATTTTTGATCTATAGCTAAAAGCGTACCTGAAAGTATTGTTAAAGTAAAATTTACACTCACTGGTCACTTTATTAGGTACACCTGTTCAATTGCTTGGTAACAAAAATTGCTAATCAGCTGATCACATGGCACCAACTCAATGCATTTAGGCATCTAGACATGCTGAAGATGACTTGCTGAGGTTCAAACCAAGCATCAGAAGGGGGAAGAAGGGGGATATAAGTAACTCTGAACGTGGCATGGTTGCTTTTCTCAGACGGGCTGGTCTGAGTATTTGAAAAACTGTTGATCTACTGGGATTTTCATGCACAACCATCTCTACGGTTTACAGAGAATGGTCAAAAAAAAGAGAAAATATCCAGTGAGCGGCAGTTCTGTGGAAAAAAAACCTTCAGCCTTTATATGCATGAAGGTAAAAAAAACCATCTGTGTGCAGCAGCTCCCCCAGCCCCCTCAATACTTACCTGACCCTCATCGCGATCCAGCGATGTGAAAGACAGTCTCGGCTGTCCCGGGTCTCTGCCTCCTCATTGACAGAGAGCAAGCGGGAGCCAGCCACAGTGTATCCAACACTTTTCAAGTAGTTACAGTAGTCTTCTTTCTGGATTTAAGTTATATGAAATAAAGTTAACCGTTGTAAGCACCCAAGACAGTGTTATAGGGCTCAGAGTGCAGAGAGCTGTAAACCATAAAAAAAACTTGTCCAGGAGTGAAAGATGGGTTAACTGCATATCTGAGCATTTGCATCCAAGGGAATATGTGGTTACTAGCATACACCAGCAGGCTGTACACTTACACCCATCAATTCAGATCACTGAGATATGCTCCATCCCCCCCCCCCCCCCCAATGTATGGCCGTGTGTGTGTGTGTGTGTGTGTACATATTTTGTTTCAACTCATGTAACTGCCATTTGTGCTGGACAGCTTGGCCTGTTACAGAAGTGCATGTTACAGGGACAAAAAAAAAAAAAAAAAAAAAAAAAAAAAAAAAAAAACGCTAGTGTGCATGGAGCCTAAGAGAGCTTTTTTTTTTTTTTACATCCCTGCAACATCCTAATCCATTTTTTGCACTTTTGTAACAGGCCAAGCTGTCCAGCACAAAATGGCAGTTACAGGAGTTGAAACAAAATATGTGCTCATTCACACAGACACAGAGCACTTTAGACATTAACACTTTTTTTCTGCTCCTAGGAGCAGAAATAGTGTTATCCTATGTTCATGCACACTACTTTAGGCTATTAGTGTTTTTTGAGTTTCAGTGCCTAGGAGCAAAAAAAAAAAAAAAAATGTTTTTCTAGGAGTTTTTCCACCAGAAAAAAAAATGCTAAACGCTTAAACACTACTAAAACGCTGCTAATCGTTTTTTCCTACATGTACTATAAAAAATGTTAATCTAAAACACTACTAAAAAACACTATTACCAGCATAAAAAAAAAAAAAAAAAAAAAAAAAAAAAAAAAACCAGTGTGCATGAAGCCTTAATGCATAATCAACATTTTTTTTTTTTTTTAATTTCATTCACACTTTCACTTTAACATACATCAATTCAGCACTGCTCACAACCCTTCTAAACCAGATATGCAAATAGCTTAAGCCTATGATGTGTCCCAGATTTATGACTTGCTATGCAAATGCTTTCTCCTTTGGAAACCAATAAAAATGTACTGAACGAAAAATGTGCAATAAAATGTATAATTTGTATCTACAATAAGGCCTCATGCACACAGACGCTTGCCAGCAACTGTGTGCTGAGGTGTAAAATCCCTGCTGCACATGCTGCGAACAGTTGCCAATACAGGCTAATGGCTGTAAGTGGCGATGCTCTGCTAAATGCCAGTGGCTTCTGCATCAGCATGCTTCTATGGTGCTTCTTCCCAAATGCAAAAGTGTATCATTCAGGGAGAAGCATGTGCAGGTAGATGCCGGTGCAGAAGCCAACATCTACTAGAGCATTTCCGCATACAGCCAGCCATTCACCACTACTGGCAGCTGTACACAGCAGTGGCTGCCAGGGCAGCAGAAAGCACCAGGGATTTTACACTGGAACTGGTAAGTGTCCATGTGCATAAGGTTTAACACTAACTTGTTTCTTCTGCACAAATATATGTGTTACTTTTTAGTCTTAAGTAATGACAATAAGACAAGTAAAACAGGCACATAGCAATAGTGGAGGCAGTATCTTCGCTTCGGCAGGGCTTTACCTCCACTTGTTAGAACCTTTAGCAAGGACAAAATGAGCATCACAGTAGTGACATTACCAAATCTCACTCTGATATCCTGAGACTATCAGTGAGAGAGGTACCAGTGATGAGCTCAGACTGCAGAAATTCAAGCTATGAAAATGAAGGCACAGGAGTGCCTAGGTACCATCACATATAATAGAAAGTGTTCAGCAATTTGGAAGAGGAATTCAAAAAAATGAAAAAAAGGTAAAACTATCAGTGTACAGGTTAGGAAAAATTAACAATTCTAGATGTCCCCTATAACATATCAAGGCTTCATTTAAAAGGGGATCCAAGTTACTTTAGAAGCACTAAAAATCATCCAATTTAAAATATTTTTGTTAATCTTTGTTCAGGTTATGTACAAGTGTAGACATGAGTGAATGGTCTCCAATATGGCTGACAACGTATTTCTACCCAGTTTTTCTCTCTCTACTAAACAGGGAAACTCTAGTTATGTGAACATCTCTTGTTTATGGCAATAGAGCAAAAAGATGTGGCAATTGCAGATTGTCTCAGTGCCTTCAGAACTTTGAACAAAACCATCAACAATACATTTCAAATACGGCACCACCTGCCTGGAGTTTGCATGTTCTCTCTGTGCCTGCATGGGTTTCCTCCAGTTTACTTCCACACTCCAAAAACATGCTGGTAGGTTAATTGGTTCCTGTCTAAATTGGCCCTAGTATGGATATGTATGAATGTGAGTTAGGGACCTTAGAGATTGTATGCTCTTTGAGGGTTAGGGACTGATGTGAATGTGCAAAATTATATATCTATATATACCTATCTATATCTATATGTCAGGTTTCTGTGATGTA